CTTTTGTATTTGTGTTGCAGCTTTTGTATTTATATTGCAGCTTTTGTATTTGTGTTGCAGCTTTTTTATTAGTGACGACACCTCTGGGCCACCGTATAAAACAGTTAAACCACTGAAATGTTTTCAGCTGCACACTGCTGGTCAGCTGGCTGAAAGAAATCTACCACCCTGTTCCTCTGCATTCAACATAGGCAGTTGTGATCAAGAAACATGGACGGTCGTGGTGTAGAAACGATGTCACTCTTAAGGTGATGATAGCTCAAGTTTTATTAATAGTAGTTGTACTTTGTCACCATAAATGATATAAAATCTAAAAGAAAAGTCCTTGTGTGAACTCTGTAAAACAAGATTTGTAAAAAAAAAAAACATATATTCATAGAAAAAATCATTTGGTAAAGCCGCATTGGTTTGTTACTCATTGGTACCAAAACATATACATAGCTGTTTTTAAGCCGCACCTCAGTAAAAACAGAAATTTTCTGTCTGGAAATTCTGAGCATGCTCAAAATTTCTCAACATACGACACAGATGGCAAAAAAGCCACAATAGCCTGGTTGCATAACTGTGCACGCACTTCAGTTTATATTTTGTTGCAGCATCATATACTAGCTGTGGTATAAGAAGATGATTAATCTGCTTAATTAATTAATGAAATTATTATCAACTAATTTAGTAATCCAATCGTTACCCAGACTCTAAAATAAACTATTTGCTGAAAGAAAATAACCTACTTGAAGCAGTAATTTAGAAAAAAATCTGCATATATAAACTAAAAACATTTATACGGATATTTTTTCAGTTAGAGATTAAATTGTTTCTTTTTTCATATATTTATATAATTTAATGTGAATGGACAGATTTGTTACATGTTTTGCTATTTACAATAAAAGCTTCTCTTCTCTATTCCGTATATTATTTTATGGTAGCTTAATAAAACAAATAAAATTTTTAGATTAATGTATTAGCCAAAAGAATAGATAGATTAATCGATTACTAAGATAATCGGTATCTGCAGCCCTAATTTGGTCATTTATTAGTTGTTTGATGTGATTCTAACCAATTATTTTTTCAGTCAGAATCTCTTTTTTTTTATATATATATTTTTTTTTCCTCAAAAAAAAAAAACAAATCTCTCAAACCTAATAATGCCTTCGACCATCATTAAAAGGCAATAAGTAAGTTTTAGTGTCCGTATGGAAATATCTGTCTTTCATAGATGTTCCAGGCATGTTTAGGCTCATTTTGTTCATAATAATCCACAGAAGAAGAACATTAAACTGTTTCCTCCATAAAATATCAACCCACTGAATTTTGAATTTATGAAAACTTGCTTTGCTTCTATCAGAAAATCAGAAATATAAAATTGAAAAACGAAAGCTTTCATCTGAGGTTCTGGTCGTATATTGGGTCAGTTTATTTTCAGCTCTATGCACTGGAAAGATTATTCAGAAATAGGTAAAAAGTTCTTAAATTAAGGGTATTTACCATTAATTTGAATAGGTAAATGATATAGTTTGCCAATGGAATGAGTATTTTTACTCTTAAAATAAGATAATTAGATAATATGCACTTGAAATAAGACAAAGCAATTTTTTTTTTCTTATTTTAAATGTAAATTGCCTTGTTTTATTGGCAAAATGTATCTTTTACCTCCTCAATCCAACAACAAATTCACTTATTTTAAGAAAAAATTACTTATCTAGATTTTATTTTTTCCAGCGTGTTAGCCTGCTATCACAACAAAGCCCGCTTCTCTTCGCCCCAGCGTTTATGTTCTAACACATGAGGTGGCAGCCAAGGAGGAGAGCTTTAAAATGAGGGGTGGGGCTTATTGCCAGCATTCATCTCTGACCTTATGCTGTCGTTCATAAGGCGAGGGGGGCCACTTGATTGATAGAAATCAGCTCATATCACAGGATATTACTCACTTGCTTTCATCACCTTTATAACAAAAGTGATATCGGAAGAAAATACCTTTCGCCTACAAAATAAAATGTATTTTTTTATTGTCAAATAAATGGTAAAATAAATATGTTTTTGTTCTATAAAAGCATCAGTATACCTCATTCTGTTGATGTCAAATTTTGCACATATTTTGTCAACAACAGGAAAAGCAATTGCAGTAAATTACATAAGCATGCTATGGTGTGTGTCAAAGCAGTGGTATCTAGGAAGCAGGATTTAAAAAATGTTTGAACTAGGACTGGATCAATCAGTTTAATCATGATCAATCTATTATTAAATTAATCATAAGCTGATTTTGTAATCGGTTAGCCCTTTGACTGGTTTAGAACATATGCTGAATGAAAATCAAACTACACAAAACCGTAGTTATTCCAAAATTATATAAGAAAAACCCATAAATATTTCACATTTAGAATGAAAACCCTTTTTTTTCTGCGAATAAGCTCTGCCCAGAACCCCTTAAGTGGCAGTTTTAGCTTTACCTGGTTTAAATTCTGCATAAAATCTTCTTAAATTGACCTTTTGATGCTCAATTATTAATCGAGAAAATAATGAACAGATAATCAATTAGCTAAATAATCATTGTTTGCAGCCATGGTTTGAAGTGGCCTTAAGGTTATGTCATTGTCACAGTATTGAAATGTTTATCTCCAATAACTAGAAGCTACAGTCTTTTAAAAGCATCCTCTGTGTGTTTATTAGGCGAGGCCAGTTCGGATGTTCAAATTTAGTGCATAAGCTTAAAGGAATAGTACACCCAAAACATGATTAGCCTTCATTTTCTACTCACCCCCATGCTGAACAACACTCTGGAGTACTTTTT